CTTCTAAGATTATATCAGCTGTCCTGGTGTAATCCCCCCCCGAGAGGATAATCCAACAGTTTAAAGATGTCGTGCAGCACAACAATGAAAATAAATATTTGAAAAATGAATTATTTTTACTGAGAAAAATCTCACTTTTTCTTTGGTTAAAATTGAACCTGGTCCTTTGTTCCTCTGTGAGTTCTGTTGGGATCCTGTTCACCCACTTGTTCTCCTGTCTGTGTGTGTGTGTGTTTTCCCCGTCACAGTAATTAAACCACTTCTCATTTTCAGCAAACTCTTCATGAGAAATGGGACGAGTACCGGTCACTGATGGTCCAGGAGCAGAGGCTGGTTCACGGTGAGTTTGTTTTTGGTTTTTTATTTATTTATTTTTTATCTGTGAGTAAAAACAATCCAAAATTGTAGAACTTATATCCATCGGTTCTTTGTGGATTTTGATCACGTCCGTGACGAGGTGTCTGTGGTGCAAATTTAAAAAAGTCAGGAGCGTCGCGTCTGCGTCAGGCGAAAAAAATAATGAGAAATTCTTCGGGATCTGAACGTCGTCTGGACTGTGATTCAAACAAATATTTTTACTAATTCTTGTTGGACCGGATTAAAATATCGAACGGCTCATAACTGGGCCACGGGCCATATATTGGCCAAGTCTGATTAATAGCGATCGTCAACCGTCAACGGTGAAGAGACCGAAGCTCCGATCATGAGGTGAGACCCTGACGAGTACTGCAGTATTTCATGGAAATAAAGCAGCAGTATTTATTAGCCACGCCCCCTAGAGTACACACATGTGTATATATATATATGTATGTACATATATATATACATATACTGTATATATGTAGGTATATGTGGTTATTTTTTTCACTTGTCATTGGTCTGATTGGGCTCTAGGTGGCGCCTTTATTTCCATGACTCGATGTTTACGTTGCGTTTTGTGCCGATCCATTTTTCTGACTCTCCTCGTCGTTCCTGCAGGAATAGTGATGAGCGACGCAGCGGTGTACGAGTCCCTGGAGTCCGCAGGCGTGTACGGCAGCCTGGGCTCCCCCAGCCCCGCCGCCCAGAGGGCGCTCCGCGGCACCGGCAGCACCAGCAGCAGCGCTAGCTTCCTGAGCACGGCCACCGAGGACGACCCTCTGTACCAGACGTGTCTGTACCAGGGCGACGGCAGCGTGGACTCGGACAACGGCAGCACGGGCAAAAAGAAAGGACGACAGTTCTCACAGAGGCTGCAGCGCCTGCGGCCGGCCAGCGAGCTTTTCGCCACGACCAAAACGCAGCTGACCCGCAGCGCCAGCACGCGTAGCTACGTGCGCGGCTCGTCGTCGTCGTCGTCACCGGCCCAGGGCGAGAAGAAGGAACATTTCAACTCCATGCAGAGGAAACCCAAACCAAAGAGCTTCCGCAGACGAATCCTGAAGTTCATCCCTGGACTGAACCGACCGCTGGAGGAGGAGGAGAGCAAACTGTGACCTCCTGACCTTCACCGGGACGGACTGAAGCGCCGATCCAAAGACTTGAGCCAATGTCTGCGAGAACCACACCAAAGAACAGAAGAAGAAGAAAAGAAAAAAGCCCTCGGAGTGTTTGGACAGATACGTGGACCGGCTACGTTCTTCAGCCTCCACAGCTGTAAATAATTTCTCTTTTGTTGGTTAAGTTATTTATTTATTTTTCTTGTTTTGTACAGAACGAAGCTTTTTTTTTTTTTCATTTTTACTGCATGTAAGATGTTTATTTTGACAGTTAAATAAATGCCGACTACGTAAAAAATCACCGCGTGGACGGAAACCTTTTTTTTAGTTCAGTAGGATCAGAGCTTTGTTTACATGTCCCGCCTTCTAGCTAAGAGACAGGTCTCTGATTGGCCGTCGCCCTCATGTGTTCCTCTGATCGCATTTTTATAAATCGACTCATGGATAAATACATTATTGAAGATTTAGTTTAGTTTTCAACTTTTATCAGAGTTCAAGCGTCAGTTACTCTGGAGATGCGATCTCCTCCAGGTGGCGCCCTTCACCTTTCTTACTAACTAATGTTAGTGCTTTTCATTTAAGAGTTTTTTTTGGAGGGGTGAGCGGGGGGGGGTCACCCAGACCGCGGTCCGTCATATCTCCCCTGATGCGGTTTATTGTCGGCTGAATGGAGAGGAATGTGTGCAGGAAGCCACGACCCAGAATTCCTTGCACAACAAGTTTCTTTCAGTTCCTGCAGACGATGAATGCTGATTCCTCCTCTTCCACGCTCCCATGATGCCATGGTGGCCGCGCTCGTTCACCAGCTCGTTGGGTTAGCATCTGTTGCTCTGTGTGTGTGTGTGTGTGTGTGTGTGTGTGTGTGTTGGGCGGGGGTTGCCTGCAGTCTTTTCATTCCTGGCTCCCAGCTGACCTCTGAGGTCACGGTGGTCACTCTCTCTCTCTCTCTCTCTCTCTCTGAGGGCTCAGTGACGTTGATCCTTTTTGTCCTCTGCCACTTATTCACCGACATGTCAGGAGGGTCGTTGACGCTCGGGTTTTTGAGTATTTTTTTTTTTTTTTCCTTCTGGTGTTGGACCTGTTGGAGTTGAGGACGAGGAACCGAAAACCATGGGTTTAAACGGCGTTGGCTGGAGGCGTGACCAGGAGATAATTAGTCTGGATGATGGTGGACAATGAGACAACGGGTCATTTACCACAGACACTGAGCCTAAACAAGGGGGGGGGCAGTTAGTGCTCAGTAATTACCACAGTGGGAGGTAAGAACAGGAGGCGTGGCTGCTCAATAAAACTGTAATTTAAGGGTTTGAATCCCAGCCTGCTGCCTCGACGTCAGTGTGCGAGAGGAGCAACAACAGGATGACGTCAGCGCCCACTTCTGTTAACGAGGTGAACTCCATCAGTGTAAGAACGGGCCAAAACAAAAACACACTTGGAAGACGTTTGTCTCTGTTGAAGAAACCTTTGTTTCTGTTCGACCTCTGACGATCTGCGAGGGCTGTTGGAGTCGGACGTCGGGGGG